TTAGCTGTCTTGCTTCATTGCTGGTGTAAAGAAGGCATCATACATTAACATAGCTTTTATTGGGTGCCATTCAGATTTTGTTCCTGAATTATTAGTAGACCTGTAGACAAATTATTAAGAAAAATGACTGTTTAAATTCTCCTATGGAAAAGGAAACAGAAAGTGTTTAATACAGCAAAGAGTAAAAAATATAAATACCTTAAAACCTGCAGATAAAGATGTGGCTAAACAAAATGTCAGACCCTGCATTTGTTTAAAAGAAATCAGCTTGTTTTGATACAAAATGAAGTGTGCACTGTGATCAAAGATTCAAGCCTGGCAAGTGTTGAGTACCCTGGCCTTGTTCCAGCCCAACACAGAGGCGTGTCCTTGGAAGTTAAGCATGTGAATAATGTCATAGTTGTCTAAACATTAAAGATGTGTCTGTGCCTTTGCAATGTGTCTCCCAAGACTAAAGCAAAGGCATGAGAAACTTAGGAGCCTTACACAGCCCATATGTAAATCATTAGAGGAAAGGCAGTGCATATATATATATATATATATATATATATATATATATATATATATATATATATGAGGAAATGCAATTTCCCCTGAGTTACAAAGGGGAAAAAAATCTATGGTTTTGCCATATAGTGCCATATAGTGACACTGAAAGGGAAGCGTTGATCAAACTACAGTGTGGGCATGGCCTTGCCAGGCCCTGAACAGCCTCGCCATCATGTGCTGCCCATGTAACTTCACCCCCATGAGTTCCTAGGCAGCAGGGCCCTAAAATGCTGAACTACACTGTCCCATATTCTGCAACACTCAAACTGGGAATCCTGGAATCTTCATTTCAATTCAGGTATTTTTTCAAGGATTTAGTGAGGCAAATACTAAATGAAAATTTTAACTCCTTTTTGTAGTTAGTCTGTACTTGTGGTGAATCACAAATCTGTGTGATATATGATTTTGGTTTTGTATGAAGTTAAATTTGCTGGAAGAAGGAGTTTGAATATTCATGTAGATGAAGAAGAGACACTTGGAAGGCCAGCAGAGGTCATGCTGGCTTCGTGTTTTGTCATCTTGAAAAGTATGTGTGCATCTGTGTTATGAACGAAGAAAAGGAAGTGCAGTAAAGGCATATTTTGGTGTGATTGTGGATCATGTTGTCTGTGTCTCAGGTATGAAAATCTGAGTGAATTTTTACTCCATCTGACCACATTGTACACAGCAGCACCAGTGCAAGTCACCGTATTACGAGCTTGCAGGTGTTTACAGAGCTAGATAAAGCCCAGTAAAACACCAGTGCACATGCTGCACCCCCTGCTCTTCCAAGCAGGGAGTACACAGTCATGCAGCATGTTGAGAGATACATCCCTTCCTTAGGAAGGCTGACAGAAGCACAGCTGGGCTCATGCCTGTTCAGGAAAGTTATACACCACACAGCTGAGAGTTTTAATTTTTCTGCCACTCTGTCAAGATTTTCTGATGGGAAACAGTAGTTAAGAACATCGATTGCCTCTTTGTATATACTCTTAGTGAGCTGTGCTTGAGGGCTCTTGCATGGTTTCTGTAACAACCAGCTGCAATACTGGCCTTGGCACCAGAAGGGGAGAAGATGAACATATACACCAGTCTTGGCACTCATTGATGTGTGAAGCAGCCCCTGTGCTTGGTTCTGATCCTCCAGCAGCTTTCCAGCACGCGTCAGGGCCCTGTTGTGTGGGGTGTGCAGCCCAGAGGCAGCCAGCAGCTCTGTGCCTTAGGCATCCATTGCAGCTGGAGGAGGGCTGGGTCAGCATAGGCTCACACAGCAGAGCTTCCCACCCAGAGAGCTGTCTTGTACACCTGGTTTGACCATCTGCTGCTTTGCCTCTGCTTGTTAGTCCCCAACCCTTGCTGCAGCTCCATGTGCTGCCTCATCCCACAAGCAGTATTGTAGCAGTGTCCTTTTGTCCAAGAGCTGGAATTTCTGCCAGCACATAGGTCAGAGTGTGCTGGGCATCACTTGCTTGGTGAAGTGGTTCCCTAGGCACTGGTGAGTTGAAGCTATGCTCAGCCTTGCTAGATTTTTTTCCTTTTTAACTTCATAAAGACCATTGAAGCATTACAGCCCATCTTTCCTTCTTGATACCAGTGTGCTTAGACCCACAGAGCCTTCGTTCTACACTAGAAATTGTAAACTTCTGGAGCTCTCTCTCAGATAGGCATCACTAAAGAAATTCTTTTAAATCTGTCTATGCTTTGCTGAGGTTTGGTCTGAAAAGCTTGTCCTCTGCTGTGGTGGGCCAGGTCAGTTCACTTGACGTCATTTTTCTGGTTCGCAGTGGTGGGGGGAAATAAAGCTACATGTACTCTACATGCCTGCAGAAAAGAGTAAGTTGTCCAGGCAAACTTTTAACAAATCTAGCTCAGGAAACCATCTGGTGTAGACCTGTAGATCCAGAGAAGTACTCAGAAGACTCTCAAGAGTTGTTCTTGCCACTGTGGTGTAAGCATGGCAGAAGGCCTACATCTTCATGTCATTTTTATGACACAGACAATATGAAAAGGAAAAATGTAAAAGTGATCAGTAAAGTTAATTTCTAGTGACCTGGCGTACAACACATCTAATTAAACACTTAGCAAATCTTGTTGGTTTTTATCATTTGTTGTTTATTGTTTGAAATAATCTTAATTTTTTTATTAAATGTAAAAAAAACCAAAGTGAGTTGTAGTACTAAGATTAAAACCATTAAAACTCATTCAAGCTAGAATTAGACAGCACTGTCAAAGTACTAATTAGAGCAAATCAGAATTAACAAATAGTCTTGGACTACAACCAGACCATTACATTAATACATATTCAACGATTTTGAATTCCCAAATAAGAAATCTAGAGAGAAAGCTGCCTATTTAATTATATATTCCAATTAAGATTTTGGTCTCAATGTAGGAAGCTTATCTGAACATCTCTCTTATTAGTCCAGTTGAGTTACTTGAAAGTCATGTTTGCAGTCATTGGTGTTTCTGCTTAATTGGGCTGCAGATCTTTTTCTGTGCTTTCTCTTGCTCTCTTTACAAAAAGTAAGTTTTACAGCATAGCTCTGCTATGCTGTAAAAGGTTAACAGCTATAGCTGAGAAGTGCTACTTGAAGCTGTGTGCTTTTTTCCAAGATAAAGAGCGTGCACAGGTTCAAAAATGTTTTACTAGAGAACTTAGGAAGGTGAATTAAGGTCATAAACAAATTAAGGTTTGGAATGTTTCCAACTGTTTTTACACATATGTACTTGACCTGATGGTATTCTTATGCCATAAAACATTAAAGGGTCCTTTCCTATTAAAACAAAAGAGCAAAGGGCAATCTCTAACAAGACAAAATGTGCTGCAGCTATTCTCTTCATCTAGTCCACATCCTCACACAGTGAACACTTAAAGAAGCTCACAAAAGATAAAGGTTTTATGAGCTGTATCTTTGAATCGGAAGCTCATTAAATCTACAGAACAAACAATAAACAGAAATACACACTAAAACGAAAGAGGGCAAAGGCCACGCAGACTGCCTGGCTGTTGTGCACTGTTTGTGGGGTTGGGTGCTCCTGTGTGACACAGCCAGTCTCAGTGCAGGAAATTGGTTTTGTTCAGTGCTTAGCCCTTCTGAAAGGGCAGTTGTTTGCCCTCCAGCCTCAGTTTTGTGTGTGTAATTTTTGCTGGTCCAACCACCCAAAAAGTGAACACGTGTCTTTAAAATGGGAAGAAAGATTAAAAGAAACTCGGGGCAAAAGAAAGCTAACTGGAGACACAGTAACAGCTGTGAATAATATATAAAGGACTGTTGCAAAGAGATGGGCTATAGCCTGACAGCTAGTAAAGAAAATAACAAGTGGAAGATGCTGCTGGGGGGAGAAGGTGCAGGCAGGCATTATGAAAAAAGTGCTTAATCATTCAGGATGGCAGTACACTGGGGAAAAAAAATGTCTCAAGGATGTGGTGCAGATGCCAGGAGTGTTCCCAGTTTCAAAACGGGCTAGCCAGGCATCTGTAAAAAATTAATTGGGCATTTCATTTGCTACCTGTAGCTTCTTTCTAACCCTAGCTGGCACTGACTGCACATGGGGTAGGCTTCATAATGCTTTTATCACAGGAGGAAAAATAATGTCACAGCTCTACTGATACCCCATGGGATAAGTAGTATGGCTTATTAAATCAGTGTAAATGGAGAACAGTTGACTACTACACGCTGATCTCAGGCTTTGGAAGCTTAAATAAATATGTTTTGTGATTGCTGTCTGACCAATTTCGTTGTGAGCAAAATCAAAGTAACTTTAGTCAAATGAAAATTTGGAATGGTTTTCCAGTTCAGGGCAAAAGGCTACTTTGAAATGCCAACACTAGAACTGCTGAGAAAGATTTGAAGTGTACCCTTATCACTCTTTCACTTTATGTTGGCAGTATTTCTTTCACAGTATTTTATCCCATGCTAACTTCCTTTTTTTAGCATTCTTGTCTTCAGCTGTGATCTAGCTTTGCTTTTCTATTTGCTGCCTTTCTGGGGTGTTTTTAAGGTTTGTTGTTTTGTAAAAGGCAGTATTTACCTTTGCTTAGAGGAGCTGACGGAGGGTGACTAGAGAGGTAAGACTGGGGGTTAGTCAGGAATTCCTGGATTCTGCTTGTGAGTCCATCTGTGAGCTAAGATAAGCTTACATGAGGGTTCTTGCTGTTCCTTAAATACATTTTGTCTCTAAGCTACTTGCTGGCATCTTCTGTTGCGGAGTGTTTTATACAGACTGATACCCTTCTCCCATTGAAGTGCTACTGCCTGTCTCACAGGTTTTTGCTTTCCAGGATATCTTTAGGAACAGATGCTACTGCTCCCCTGCAAACACCTCTGGCATTCAGATCACATCTTGCCATGTTAAGCTCTGAGTGCCTGTGAAGAAAGGTTTTATGAAGAAAGATGATGCAAAATGGTAAATGAGCATAGCTGGTAGCTGAATTATTCTGTATGTAAAATTACATTTTTGTCCTTTTCCAGCCATACTATTAGAAGACAGAAATTCCAGTGAGTCTGCCTGGAAGAATAAAATTTCTATATCTGCCCTAAACACTCCAGAGCCAGCAATGATGCATGAGCCTTTAGTTGGCAGCCAGAAAAGGAAAGCGAGGAAAACTAAGATCACACATCTTGTCCGAACAGCAGATGGTCGAGTGTCACCAGCAGGAGGGACACTGGGTAAGGAAACTGGGGTTTAAATTTTATTAAAACTGAATGGTTGGAGAAGGTTTAAGGGTACGTGCAACCTATCAGGGAAAGTGTTTTTCAGTTACCTTGTTTTCATACCTGCTTAGAAAGGTCATTCTTTAAAATACAGGTATCGATCAGCTGGGAAATCAGTGAGTCCATAATGGCCAACTTCTTTTGTTTGAATGAGCAGATCTGTCTTCTCTCTTTGGATATTTCACTCTGAGAACTGATGTAGAGAGAAATGGAAAATGGTTACCTTTCATAACTTGTTTCCAGTTCAGCAAAGAAATTACACTGCACCTAGTTATAGGTTGTAAAAGTGAATTCTGTACTCCAGCAGTCAATACCAGAGTCCTTGTCAGAGTTCTCTGCAGTTAAGGTGATCTTTCAGGACTACTGCATACACAAAAGCTCTCTTATCTGACCTAAAAGATCAAATTCAATTGAATGTAAAATCAGTAAACTGCTTCATAAACCTTAGTACTGTGCTTCTGCCAATAGCTTGGGTCAGAAGAGGTTGCAGCATGAATCAGATTACACTTGCAGAATCAAAGTCCTAAAGGTAAAGATTCTGTTAACACCAGACTAATCAGTATATCAGTAGGCTGCTGTGAATTCAATATCTGCAAACTTAACTTACTTTCTTTGCAGAGGAGAAGCCAAAAGAGCTGCCACAAAGTACTCTTCAAAAAACATCAAGTGCAGAAACAGGTTGCAACAGTGAATGCTCCAGAAATGCAGAGACAGAAGAGAATCATAGTATTACATCGGATATGCCAGCGGTGTCTGCATTTTTTAGCTTAGCTGCTCTGGCAGAAGTAGCAGCCATGGAAAATGTACACAGGTATGGTTTCCTTTTCCCCTTGTTGTCTAAGTCAGCAGTGTGTGACTGACACTGCTCAGAAAGCATGTGAATAGCAGACTGTTTATTTTGGCCTGCGTTTTCTCTTCCACACCTTTCTGTGAATGTCTGTTTTACACCACTTGCTTAGTAGTGTTAAGTCTTCACCTAAATGGCAGTGTAGTCTTATTTATCCTTCCTGGTAAGCCTACCTATGCGTTTTTGTATAAAAACAGGTTCCTATGTTGTTTGAGATCCTAATGATAGAGAATTATCAGATGGTATTTGTCAGATAGTAGCAGACTTAAATAGCTATTGCATGCTTATTCGTGTTTTTCAGTGGCCTAACACTGTGGAGGAAATTTCCTGCAATTTAAGATGAAGTTTTTATGCTGAACATGGCTGAAGGAAACCAACTTGGTTCTTTTACTCTTGTGTTCTGCTGTGTAGAAGGCAAAACATCTGCAGAACAGCATGGGTCAGAACAATTCTGGGTGATCAAAAGCCACGGTAGTTTGGGTTGGTCCTCTCAGTTACTGAGTAGACTGTCCACACAGATAAGGTGAAGAATGTACAGGTTACTTGAGCTGTTGAATCAGTTCAGCATGGTCAGACCTGTGATGAGAGGAAACCAGTGACAGCAAGTCCTCCTTGGCTCTTGATAATTCAGTGTTGTTCTTCGATGGTGCAGCTTACTGAAGATGAAACCCCATCATCTCCTGCAGTGGAGAGTCAGTGAGGAAGTGCTGGGCCAGTCTGAAACCATCACAGCCTCTGCAGATGGCATTTGAGAGACTGCTGGCTGCTTAAGAAGCTCCACAAGGCAGCAGTTGACAAAACCATTCACAGTCTCAATTTACTGTTGTTCTCATGGCCTCCATTGGTAAACCCAATCCTGTGTGTTCAGGCTGGACATGAAACACTGAAAGGCTTTTTAAGAGCTTAGGGACCCTACAAGAAACAGAATTGCACCCTGTCTGCTAGCTGCTCTCTACAGAAGCCATTGACTTGCTTAAGCAGCATTGTTTTGGGTGAGGAGGTTTTCACGCTGCAGTCAGCCTGGCCTTTTCTCACAGAGTTGCAAAAAAGCGTCTGTTACCACGAGAAAAGTCTGAACTTGTTTCTGTCATTTTTTTTTTGGAGTCAGAAGCCACAGAGTGAAACTTGCAGAACTGCTGTGCTTTGCTTTGCTCTCAATCACCCTTTTGGTGATGCCATTTTTGATGCCATTAATGCCGACCAGAATTGCACTAAAGCAGCAGGATTTACTTTGCTGTGGTTTTCTCCTCTTTATTCCACTAAGAGTTCTTGTCCTTCTCTTGTCCCTCTTGAAGAGACCAAATGTTTTGCAGAGCCTTCTGTTTCAGTGTTTCTTTTTTAATCCCATCTTTTGTTATGTCATCATGAAGCTAAGATAATGCAGCACCTTCTATAAGGCCTGAAAACACCAAACTGGCAACTGTCCAGCAGCTGTTGAAATGCCAGCTTGTAATCACCCTGGGGGTAGATGGCAACAGGGGAGGACTCTCTCCCAGAACAAAGTTAGTTGTGTCCCTCACATACTTGGCAAATGGAAGTCAAAACAGAAATTTAAGTCTTACGAGCTAGCTGCTTCCCTGTTTTTTACTCTGTTGACTGTTTTAATTGTTTGCAATTCGCTTTATTTGCAAGTAGCCAGAAACACAAAGAATGGAATTAGAGGTTTGCTTGATGCGTTTCTTCAGTGTCTGAATTTAATTATTAAATAGTTTCACAGAGCCTTGGGACATGGAAGCCCCTTAGCAGCGTGGTTTTCATTTCAAATCTTCTGTTTAGCTTTATATACCTTGTGCACGCCCTGGTTAAGCACTGTGAGCCTGAGCTGCATTTTGTGCCAAGGCCACTGCATTGCATTCCAGTTGTGCAAAGCACGTTGGTACCTCTGTTTCTGCTGGGTCTTAGCTATGCCAGAGTGAGGTAAAGTGGCCATGGTGTAAGTAAGAAGTGGACCCCAGAAAAATAAAAAAAGAACCTCACTTGTGAGAGTAGATGACAGATGGTGGCATGCTTTGTGTGTGTATTTTAAAAGGCAAACTGCAAAGGAGTTCTTCAAGTCCACTTGCTGCAAAGACTGATGTTGATTTCCAGCATCTAATTCTGGCACAGTTTATTTTTATGATAGCCTGCGCCAGGGGATCATTTTTAAAATAACACTGCTGTAATAATGAAATGGATGTTGTATTAGGCTGATGTATTGATCAGTCACATAACTTGGGGTAATCCCAATGTGCGGTTCTGCTCATGGGTATATTTCCATATTGCTTAAAACCTGGCTGTTGACTCTCATTAACATGATACGCACCTCTGTGCCTTTACCTTCTTTTGCCACGCATGAGCTGTATGCTGTGCTTCTGAGGGCTGAAGCCACTCCCTTACAAAATGAGTCGCAGCACTTGAGCGCTCTTAACTTCCTCTTCAGCTGTGCATTTTGATTTGTGTTGTCAAATACCATCATGTCTTGTTTTCTCCTGCCTTTGCATTGTGATGTAGGTTGTCCTCAGGGTACTGTGTTACTGTTGCGGGAATACCTCTAAAAAGAGCATGTAACCTCAGTATGTGAGCACCTGCAGCAAGCGAGGAGTTACGGTGCCGTAGTGTCGGGTGTTAAACCATACAGCGTGCTGCTTTCCATCCCTTCTGGTCTGATAAAAGCACGTCCCATGCTCCTGATACTGATGGGTGGCTTTTCTTTTCTTCTTTTGCAGAAGTCAGAGGGCCACACCTCTCCCACATGATGGACAGCCAAATGAAATGTCTCAGGCTCCAGTGCTTATTTCCTGCGCTGACCAGTGAAGCTCCACTTTATTGTAAAACATTGTGCTTTACCTAATATCCTAGCCTTGTCTTTACCAAGGGAAGCTAGTCAGTCCATATGATGGAACTAGAGACTGCAATAAAGTGCTTATTGCTCTGAGTGGCCCAGAATTCACTGGAAGCCAGACGTTAGCTACTTGGGCCAGGTCCTCAAATCGGAACCCAGTATGTAGGAGGGTGATGTTAATTGTCTATTAATGAACAGAAGTGGAGTGGAATGATCCCAGAGCTTGCTTTCTATTGAAGGCTTTTAAACAGTAAATAGATGGTTGGTGTGAAAAAGGCTGCCTTTACTGTTAGCTCACACAGCATCTCTTTTACCAACCAGAGAGTACGGCAACTAGTTTCATATAATACCTAGTTACTCTAAATGAAAATGGAAAAAAAGAAGAAAAAAAAAAAACAACAACAAAAACACTGACGCACTGCACTAGTTATTATTAGATATTCTTAGTCATTTTTGTACATGAAGATTTAAGTTCTAAGATGGTTTATATTAATAGGGTATGCCTACGTTTATATTGTAGAGTGAATTTAAAACCTGTTCCAGAGAACTCAAGGCAGCCTGGACAGATGTACCATTGTTAGCGGTGTTTGGGCAGCCATGTGGTCCAGATGTTCTGCACTTTTATATTTGCCACCAGAGTGGTAGAGTTTACTGGGAAAAATTCTGACAGGCTATGTTTGGGTTTGTTTCTTTTTATTTTAGCTTTGAATAACCAGGATGATGTGCATTAGAAAAAGGAGTGGTGTATGGAAAAGAAAATACTGCAGATAATTGACTTGTCTTTCATGCCTTGGAGGGTTCCTTTATTTTTGCATAGATACCTGAGCGACTTGGTGAAACTTTCCTGTAAACAAAAAGTACTGCAAATGCGTTTTTCAAAAGTGACCTTAGTATTATTTCACCGTTCTGAAAAACCTAAAACCATGACTTTTCGGTATACGTGTACATCAATACACATACATGTTAACATTTTACAGACACTGGCATTGTCGTAGTTACTATGCACAGTCCAGATCAGCTTCAGAGTTTGCATAAAGGGCCAATTACAGTTCGTGTTGGTAAAGTGGCAAGTTGTATACAGATAAACTACAACCGAAGAATAGCGTTTGACTGAATTCAGACTACCAAACAGATCCATCTGCCAGTTTCTGTCTTTGCTTGTGTTGAATTTTTGTGTTTTGCTCTCATAAATACATCCCAAAAGCAGGCCAAATGTATCACTTGGCCTGTTACCTTCACTATCTTGACTTACACTATTGTATAACCAAGCATTGATTCCTACCAATAGATGCAAAACGATCACTAGTAATTGATCTAAAGCTACAAATTCAACAGGGTACTTCTTCTATAGCACAAGATGTTTCCCTACTTTTTGCATTGTAGCACAACAATTTACCAAATTGGACTCCAGCAATAATTTTCTATTAGTCTTCGTCATACCGGCTGAACTTTTGATAGTATTAGATTGCGTTTGAAGTTCTTTGAATTAAGTCTTTAAATGATGCGAGTTTACATCATTCTATCAGGCATTCTTATTTATACTTGACTGAATTGATAATGTGTTTTGGGGTTATTTTGTAACTAATTTGATGTAATAGCCATATGGACCGTAACTCTATTAGTGCTTGCTAGGTTTAGCCTTTCATTGTTGTAGTTAAGTGAAAGTCTCTGGTTCAGTGTCAGGAAACAATATACAATGTACCACATGAGTTTTAAGAAAGGATTAAAGGTCTGACAAAAGGCAGGTAGCTGGGGAAGTGTCACTGAAACAGCACCATCGAGGATGCATGTGTGGAAAGAAGGGAACAACAGAAGAACAACAAAATTTACAAGCCAATGAGTCGGTGAAAAGGTTTTTTTAAAAAATTCAGGTAAATAAGAGCCCCTAGAATGCCATTGCAGCCTATGGCGGTATTTGAAATAAGATTTTATTAAAGTTTTATAAGTTATTTTAACAAGACAGGAAAAACTTAAAAGACCTAAAACTTGTGGGTCACAGCAGGGTGGCTGTTGGAGTTTTGGACCACTTTATAATCAGCTGAAATCCAAATATGTTACAGTGCAGGCCGTTCACGTTGACAATGGTACTAACTTATTTCTCTAGAAACCTTTAGAGTAGATATATTTTTGTCAAAGCACCCCATCCTTCCTCGATTTAAATTTCAATATTGTTCCTGGAGATATTTCTGTATATTAATGGTACCTTTTTTAAAAGAAACAGAAAATTACTTTTTTCTATATAAATTAATATCTTACTTGATCTGCTTTTCCTTGACTTTCCCTTAGAGAGGGGGTAGGGTTGGGTCAGTTTACTGGATATGACTGTTTTCAGATACTTATAAACCTTTTTGTAGATATGCTTAATTTTTAAGCGATTAGGCACTGAGAGTAGCAGAAATCCTGCAAAGCTTTATAGTTCACTAGGCATTTGCCTTTGTTGGTTCTCTGAGTGATGTCTTGATTTGAGTAGCTAGAATTTTCCCTGAATCTACTAGAAGGAGTATCAGTATTTTCAGGTAACAAAGTCTGTTAGCACAACAAAAATTTCAGACCAATATCTTACTGTATTGGGGTTGGGTTTTTTCCTTGTTTGTTTTGTTTTAATTTTTATTAATTTCAGCTGCTTTCATTTTGGAAAAATCTTATTGCTATTGTGTGTACTTCAGTATACCAGCAAACACTGTTACCTGTTAAAACCTTGTCCACAAATGCCTCTAGAGAAGAAATTGTTGCACCTTATGTATATCTCAAGCAAACCAAAATATGATGCTTTTCTGCTTTGTTTATTCTGAATATGTTGTATCATACTTTACTGAACCCATTTTAACTTAGCTAAAGCTATCAATATTTATGCATTTCACATTATTTTCTGGATCTGAACCTGTGTATAAATCTTTCTTTAAAAAAAAAAAAAGACAAGCATTTACTGTAGTTGTCCTCTGTGACTTATCCATGGGAGGGGGGAATCTTGTCTCAAGTGTAAAATGCAGTACTGTCCCAGTTTTCCTTGGCTTTTATTTATTTAGTCATCTTCGATATTTCGTATGTAGTTTTGAGGTAAACAAAATACATTCTCGTAGCTGAAGCTACAGATCTAAGCAGCTGGGAGAAAATTACTGTAATGTCTTCTTAATTGTTCTAGTACTGTATACAAATATGGGAAAAACGTTCTGCACAACATTTGAGATGCAGATTCTTATCCCCACAGTAGGCTATTTTCCACGTATTAGACCAAATCAATCAAAACTCCATGATATTATAGGTCTTTTCCGACTAAACGATTCTAAAATAATCTATGGAGATTACTTAGTGCTCTGCTTATGGCAGTAACTACCCCTTGAATGTGCTGTGATTTCAGAAAGGAATATATTTATTTAAGATGACTGAATGCTCTTTTATACTAATACAATATCCCAAAGTCATGAGCAGGAGACTTCTTGGTAGTTTGGGTTTCTATTTTATAGCATTGTTGCATGACTTTTGAAATTTAAGTGATAAGCATTGTTCGAAAGGGGCACAGGAACAAGGGACTGGTAGAAGTGTGTGAATTTGTGGTGTTTAAATTTCAGCTTTGGTCTTTATTATTTGGGTGAAAGCTGCCTCTGTAGCACAAGGCTGAGAAGAGCATTCTGCAGTTTGTATCAAGTAGAGTTGTAACTCACATCAGAACAAGGGAATGCCTTATAGTTTGGATGCTGTCTTTTGCAATGGGATAATAAATTGAAGCAGTTTTAATTTCCACTGCCTGTTTAGCTACTGTACAGATACTGAGCAGACTGAAGGCAACAGTTATAGACTTGTGACAGCTGAGAGAGCATGAAAGGAAAGCTGGCCTTTATTCTCAGTATGGCAACAAAGGGGAATTAGAAAAAAGATAGATGTGTATTTATACGTGTGTGTGTGTGTGTGTGTATGTGTGTGTGTGTGTGTGCCTGCCTGGGTGTGTACATTCTGCAAAAAAAAATAATGTAGGAAAACCAGAAACATGATGGGTCTACAAGACACTATAATGTATGTCGACCCTTTTGAGTGCACTCCCTTTTTTTTGAATGCTGAGTCTAATATGGCTACCTCTCCTAAAAGACTACTTTCATTAACTTCCATTTGCTTTCATGCTCGTATCATGTAATGTTTTTGGCCATTGATACCATTTGTATATCGCTGTGTGCTTTATTTTCCAAGAGCAGTTTTTATATAGTGCAGAAAACGTAAAGGCTGAATATACGGTGGTAGCCAAACTGTGTTGCTGGAGTGTTTTTGTTTAACTTCTGCCATAGTCATATGGGGGTTGCAGGACATGGGCCCACTAGCTCTCCTTGGTTCAGTGAGATCAGATTTTGTAACAGCAGCAAATGCAGTGATCATGGGTTGGTGGACTTCTGATGTTTCCAGAGGTGACAGAGTAAGCCAAGTGCCTGCTCTTGAAACTTATTCTGGAGTTTACGTTTGCAATTCTGATTTCACAAGGAAACGTGACTGTGCAACTTACATTATCCATTAGATGCTGTTTGTTTGCCGTGCTTGTTTGATAGATTGTAGAGCTCCTAGGTGTCTTTGCCATGTTTTGTAATACTCGTGGCATTCTACTTACCTTGTACATATTATGGAACTGTCAACTAGAGCTGCCAGGATGCTGAGGCATTTCAGGACACTGAGTGCCATGAATGAGTCCATTTAGGCTGTGAAAGAGTTACTTGCCTCCTCCCCTGAATTTCCCAGTAAAAAAGGCACAGTGAGGTTTATGCTCTCACGTAAGTACTATTATAGTCATTTATATACTCAGTATTTTCTACTGAATTGACAGCTTTGAAGAAGCTTATGAGATGGATGTATATTTGATGTTCCCCCACTAATTCTTTTAAGGCAGAAATCTAGGAACACTTGAGATGAGATCTCCACTCAGCAACACACCTAAGCTTAGGCTGAAAACCCTCCTTACTTAAGGGGCAGCATTGTTGGTGCTGTGACAGTGCAGGAGCCCCGATCATGGACCACTACGCTTTTGGAGTTGAGCTTGGGCTTGCGTGATGTTCCTGGGGGAGGCACGTCATTGTGACCTAGGGCCTTCATTCGGATGGAATTTTTAAAATGACTGCAAATAGCTTAACATTTTTTGAGTTCTTCCAAAGAATTCCGTTGTAGTTTCTGGGTCTTGACTGTTAGTACATACCAGCAGACCCGCACTGTACTCTACTGGAAAAACCACACCTGTTCAGGTTTTAACTAACCAGGATTCCGAATGTAATGGTCTAGTCTACTCTTTTCACCTCCACAACAGAAACTGTGTTTTCCCCTACATACTGCTACACTTTAATCAGTGGTTGGGTCTTTGAAGGTGACAAAAGCTAGAGAGGCATATATGTACATGTGTCTGCACGTGTATGTGTAGATACATGTGTGGGGGTGCAGTGACTTGCAGTATGTACTCTGTACAAAAGTGTTGCCGTGTTAGGTCATAAAACAAATTTAGGTTTCTCAGATGATAGTTTTCCAACTTTCTTGCTAGATTTTGGTCTCTTTCCTACACCTTACACCATAAGGTGTGAGTTTCAAAAATCATACTCAAAAAAACCACAGATCCTGCTAACCTGGATGTTATGAAAACTTTCTTTTCCAGCAGTGCTTGCTTTTAATAATCAGAATCTGTTGACAGTTTTAACACAACTGATTTGCCATGATTTTTCTTCTTAGAGCCCAGTCCTTCAACTTTTATTCTCACATGTATTTCCAGTGAATTTTGACCTAGTATTTGGCTTTATTCTCTCCAAAGTTTGGTGTAAACTTGCCTTACAATAGTTCATCTCCATCAATGGTATATAACAGAGCTACTGCCTTCTTAGTTGTGTGTAGATAAGTCAATGAGCACATTTATAGAATGTCATACTTTCTTCAAAAACCTCTAATTTGATATTTTTAAGTGCACATGTTAAGTCATGTGTATAACATGCTAAAGTACATTAAACTGTGATAATGCAACTGAATAAAATATTTAATAAAATATTTGAAATATTTGATAAGGACCTTTAAATAGATTTCTTTATGTTCATTCTATTTTGGTTACCTAGCGTATGCCTGTAAACAGTTTCCCGTTTAAAACTAATGATTGCAAATAAATACTATTCAAATGGAGCTTCTTCGATGCTTCACCTGCTTTACTATCAAATGGTTGTTTACTTCAACATATGGCTGAGGCAGCAGCATTTGCAGAATTTGTTTTGGCTACAGTATGAATTTGCTGGGTTTTTTATGCTTAAACAAGCTTGTTTTCACCTGAAAAGGGAAGATGCCAAAACCCAGATATGGATCCTCAGAACTGTAAGCTGTAGTTTCCTGTCAGATCATCCACTCAGCTTCTGCATAATGACTGTGAAGGTGTCACTTATTTTGCAAAGAACTTCTGCCCATTTGTTCTTGCTGACATTTTTCTGTACTGTTGACGTTGTTGGGAAGATCCATAGATCCATTCAAGTGCCCCAGAATTCACTGGATTTGTATCGCATAAAGCTGGAGATTGTGGGACGGAGAGCACCAGGACTCAGTGCAGTTAGGCTGTGGGAGAAAAGTTTTCCTTTTCTCCTGAATTTTCTAGGTATCCACTTCGTGTTTCTGGATTTTATCTTCTTTACACACCTGGGAAGCTCATCCACAAAGGTATAAGAGAAGTCATCCCACGTGAAGAAGCCCTTGCTATGTTTTTGGTCTTTGGACACTAAGAGAATTTACTCAAAAGTGGATTCTCTTTCAGAAATAAGTAGCAAGTGACATCAGTGTTTAAACTTAAAGGTCCCCCACTACTTTGGAAACTTATTTAAACCAGAACTCTGTTTTACCCATATATTTTACCCTCTTGGGTCTTAAAAATTAGACTGTTGGGGATCTTCTCTTTTTCTCTCCTTGGATGCCTGAAACCCCTTTGATTGCAATGGATTTCTTGATCACAGAAGACCCAAAAACAGTCTTCATGAACCCAGTAGACACTGGCTGTTCACATAGGGGCAGAACTCCTGTCTCTGAATCTTAAGCCACAAACCTAAAGGTTTCCCTTTTGCTACTTGTTTTTTTTAACTATGTGCCATTTACTCAGGAAAGAACATATGCAATCTTGCACTGCCTTTTACTGGGTATACATCAGTATCTCTGCAAAGAAACACCAGGAATGGAAGAGCTTCAGCATTAAACGCCATGTAAAGGTCATACTTGGGGAAGGGGGAGGAAAGCTCTGGTTCAGTGAGCAGAAAAAGTGGAAGAATTTTAAGAAATCTGTATTCTCTCAGTATCATGTGCCCAGTCAGGGACTTTGAAGTTGCTATTCTATATTTTTTATTACCAAGCTACTTTAAAACAGTTGTTTTCATTCCTCAAACTCCCATCTTCTCATCTGCTTTCATTTTGTTCTTCCAATGAAAGACCTGCTGAATTCAGCTAACTCTCAGTTCACCTAGATCTGGTTTGTTACCCAGCTCTTGCTCATGTTGCTTCTTGGAGCTGCTTGGCATTACACTGACTCTTAGCTGTCAGGTAAGATACATTTCCACTAATACTTTTGGAAAAACACAGGGTGGAAGGGCAGCCTTCTACTCAAGCACCACGCTTCTGCCAGACACTCCGACGTTCGCTCCTCGATACCATTTGTTGAGTCCTTTTTGTTGCTCCATGTACAGCTAACCCTGCTTTCAGAGAGACTTTTTTTTTTGTCCTACGATGTGACAACTTCAAGTGAGACACAAAGTATACCTGAGCATACCATACCCATGCTATATACTAGCTTGTGAAGCTGTCAGTTCTTCAGTAGGACACTAGCACTTTGTAATGAAATACGAGATGCATTCCTATATCTGCTGCAAAGTTCTGGTTTGTTTTGTTTTCTGAAATAAAACCTGTAAGATTTAACGTCTACCATCTATTCAGTGTCAACTTCTTTTTTGTGGACTGTTCTTGGCGCAGCAATAGTAAGAAACTGAGCTCTAACAAAGTTTTATTTAAAATATACTTCGTATTTCAGCAGGGCTTCATTGGTTGCTTTCTGATAGAAAAAGATATAGTGTTAGATCTTCAGCAGAAGTAAGCTGGCTTAAGCCGTAGCTGCCACAAGCCCAGCTGAAACTCCAGTTGAAAATCCAGCCTATATAAAGTACAAAATACAAAAACCATATTCCTTATAGAGCAGCACTTCAGCTTTTTCATCAGCCCATGAAACAAGAGGAACTAGTTGAAATAGACCCAAAAATCAAACCAGTCGAGTCAGAATGACAGGCTTAGCATTGTAGCACACTAAGAGAAGGCCATTGTAAAAAAGGTGGGAGAAAGAAAAATCTGAGCTCTCAAGACATATCCTTCCAAACCAAAAGAAGTCTTTTGAGTAAATCTTTGGAGTTCAGTAACAAGTTCTATATGTGGCCCACCAAAGGCTTCCCAGTTATGACAGACCACCAGGCTTCAGTCAGATAATTCTGAGCATCAGTTCCCTTCCTTCCAAGGTCTGGGCAGGTTCTCTGGTCAGCATTGCTGTGGATTATTAAAACATCTTGCCATTTTTAAGAGTTAAGGAGAATTTGGAAATCAGATAGTCCCAGTCTGTCAGTAACTTAAGATACTTGGTTTTGTGTCGGTAGCCAGTAGTAGTGGCTTTTGTAATGCCATCAAGTCTTCCTGCAGCGGTGAGCTCACTGTGAGCTATGCACACTGTGGGATCTGGAGTTCACATGCTTGCAGTTTTGCACTGTAATGACTTTGATTCAGACAACCTACAGCAAGCCATTGCCATTAGCAGTGGTCAGGGTGAAGCAAATTCATTGCATATCTCTCTGACAGACAGCTCCCGGTTATGTTCTGAGATGGTCCACCTGGTTTGGTCCTCGCTGGCTCGCTCAAAAACCTATTCCCGCCTGTGAGTGAACCTTTGTGGGATTTCCAGCTGAGGTGTTTGTCATGAAGCAGGGCTTGGCAGGGGGCGGTTCTTTCACCACAAACCTCTCCCCTTCAGGATGGCGAAGTTTATCTATGCCTCAACAACTTTGTGGGGGATCACTTTTTGCCTGCAGCTGCTCAGATAGATTTTTGTAGTACAAAATGAAACAAACCCAGCCGGGAACTCAATGATAAAGTCAGACCTTCACAAGCTTCCAGGTTTCAGTGGGCGGTAGTTTGAGAGTGAGGGGTGTAATGTGTCTCCAGTGAGAGCAGCTATGTAAACAGCATGCAGAGATTGACAGGTTATGGCAACAAGGCTGTGTTTCCTTTTGTTTTGAAGAGCAGTGTTTCCTAATGGAAGTAAGGTGGCAGGGAAATTACCATCGCAACAGATGGACTATTCCATTGTCTTCAATTTCAAGAGCAAAGGGTTTGCCAACCAGTTTGAAAAAAAGAAGAAATTGCAGTTCAAGTCTGTGGCTTGTAATGGATGCTGTGTTTTGCTTCAGTGGCTGTAGCAATATCTTTTCAGTTAGAAGTAAAGTGTGAGCTACTTAAGGTGTGATGCAGTTCTAAACCGTCCCATTCACTTCTAGATGACAGATGTATTTGGCATGTGGTGTAAGTGTTGCTAACAAGTGGTTCCCAGCAAATACATCATAAATAATACCAAGTGTTCATCGTTATTTTAATCAGTAATGAAGAAAATTCTTCCTGCTATGTTTTAAGAAAATATACTGTGCTTGGCTGGCACGAGGCACAGTCTTACCCTGGAAAGTAGTGGAGGGAAGCATTTCCTATGAGACTGTTTAATCTTGGTACTTAATTTTTTCTAAACATCTTTTCTAGTAACTATCGGTAGTGTACCATATTTAGGACACAGTTAATTCAGCTCTGAGATCTTTTAAAGTCAAGGTAACTAGTCACTTCTCATGCAGAAATCCACAGCAGCAAATAAATATCTTAGGGATGAATGGGATGAATAAAGGATGCTGTGTGCAAATGCTGCATCTCTTTAGATGTAGGACATTCAAGATGCAGGATTGCAGGCCTAGGAGCCAGGCCATGGGCAGGTATCAGCTCAGGTTCACAGTGTAATTTTGCTGGCTTGCATGAAGGGAAGACAAAAGGACTGTATTTAAAACCCTTGTGATTCACTGAGCCCAACACGTTGTCGTCAGTACCACGTGTGCTTCATGCTGGGGGAGTTTGAGGGTTGCTGCAGTGGGAGACTCCATTTCTGTGCTGCTTGTCCTGAGCATTGGCTGGTTTTTTGATGTCCTGCAACTCAGCATTTTTCACTTACCCTGTCTCTAAAGATAGTCATGGAGCCTAGGTCTGTCACAGCAGTCGTGCATGTAGTGAGGGATGTCTGGTACAGTGGTGGTGTGCACTGACAGGTGCAGCAGCTTAAAGCCATGAAGTGGGAACCAGGAGTTCCTGAGGTCCTCCAGGAACCTCTGTGGGGAGGCCAAGTGCAGTTACTGCTGCTCTGGGGGATGAGGTGTGGGTTTATGGTGGCAGCAGTATCGAACCTGAGCAAAAAGGCTGTATCTGTCCCTAGGTCACCGAGAGCTTCACTTGGGCCAGGCTCTGGGAACAGCAGAATTGGAGAGTGCTTATAAAAATTACTTATAAAAGTGAAGCACAATTTTACTCACTTGCATCCGTACACATAACAGCAGGATTGATCCAGTCTGTTATGGCTTTTATATAAAAATTGCCAGGAATACACAATGGTTGCTGCCATGAGCTCTGGCAGCTGCACTGCACTGTGCACTTGGTTTATTACAACTGAGTGAGGGGAACATATATAAATGTTTTACAGATTTTTGTGTCCATCTGTTGGCAAAATGTACCTGACATACCTTGGTTGTCAAGTGGTTAGAAGACTAATTTCCAGATTATCTGTAGAGCTGGATCCTTGTTTTAGCACTTTCAAACAGGTAGCATATGTGCAGATGCATTTTTTAAATAACTGATTTAAGAGGGTTGTACTCATGGTACATGTTTCACGGGCGAGAACCGTGAAAACACCGTAAGACATAAGAGTCAATATAAAAGTTTCATATTCAGAGATTCTGTTCATCTGCAAGTAGTTTAAAAAACCTAGAAAAAAATGGATGTGTGCTGTTCCACCTGGGCACAGTGATTCTATAATTGATGGCCAAGGGTTGCCAGCAGGAATTTAAAAGCATCTTTATTAATGAGGTTAAAAT